GTAAATTAATGATAATTTGTTTTCAGTCTTGACATTGCTGTTAAACTGCTCATCCGTGTAATACTTGCAGTTATTTTCAGAGTCCTTAAAAAAGTTTTTTTCAGGGTCAAAATCATCATCCGATTCATGATAATGTTGTTCAGTGTCTCCAATTGCTCGGTGTAATCTTCATTTATATAAATATTAGATCCTTTAAGCTTCTTTGCTTGTTGCAGTATGTGTGCCTTATCCTTCTCTTTCATCAACTTTAACATCACCGCCCTCGGTCCCCGATCAGAAGGTTTCCCAACGCTGTGAGGTTGATGAATTGATGAATTTGCAGTTTCTCCTTTAATATTTCCTTCACCTTACATTCCGCTTCCGTCCAGCTTTCTCCAGCTGCCTCCTTGATTCCCTCGAAGATCAGGTTTTTTTGCTTGGATTGTGCTTCCAATTGCTCCATTTTATACGTTATAGTTATTAGACTCTCACAAGTTTTGTAGACGTCCTGCCTTGTGTCTTTGGCATGTATTTCCTGCTCCCCCACGGCTGCTTTAATCGCATCCACATCTTGCTGGGTAAACTGCAAACTCGTGTTTATCTCCTGTATTTCTTTGGTCATGTCGTCGAGTCTCTTGTTGTTTGTCTTCATAATTAGTTTCACAAAGCCTTGGAAGCTTTCTTGCTGTTGGCACATTAGTGCGGTGTACATCAGCTTCTGCTGATTTCTGTTACTTGCGCCGCTGAAATATAATCCTCTTCTGCTTCAACATTCTCGTTCGCTTCTGATTTATTACCTCTTTTTCCTCTTGGAGGCATTTTAATAGTTGTAGAATTTGTTCAAAGACTTGAAAATGTAGAAGATGTGAAAAATCATAGAACAGACAAGAGGAGCAGTAAAGACGTCTGCTCTCGCTTGCATATAAGGATGACTATAGCTTTCGTCCACCAATGTGCATTAGGAAGAGATCAGGAAGAACGGTCACAGGCAGCAAAACCTGCTGCAATCCTTATATGGACACCAGACTATTGTTTTAAGAGACTTAAGAACCTAACCCCTTAATTACCTTAAAATAATCTTGCATTTAACGACCCATAATGTTATTGTCGGTGCTACGCTACCTGTTGGAATTCATTTCACTACTTTGGGACTAACTCTATAACCTGTCACAACACATGACATCTCTCACCAGTTCTCTCTGGATGGTGATGATTCGGTCTCTGGCTGCCTCACAGTTGCTCTTCTTGCCTGTGATGACGATCGTCTCAGAGTTACTGTTCTCTGTCGGCAGATCGATCTTAGTGTTGGTCTCCTCGCGGATCTGGTGGCATAAGTAACCGATTAGTTTATATCTTTAACAAGATGCAACATTTGTTCTGATAGTATTTTAAAGCTGACCGTTATGGCTGAACGAAGCCTCACCTTTTTGATGTTAGCGCCTCCCTTACCAATGATGTTTTTGTGAAACTGTTTGTAGACGGGGACGGACAGCGAGAAGCTGTTCTCAATCTACAACAGAAAGAAAGCTGCTGTGAAGCCAAGAGTACACAGACACAGACAAATAAACAAAGACAGAAAACAACAGGTCATACCAGGTCAGCAATGATTTTATGGAGGAACTTGGCACATTTCTCCACTTCATTCTTTGGCCCTCTCAGCTGGACAATGTCACTCTTCTGCGACGGGTCAGGGAAATTGATAATAACCTAGAAGTCGATCAGATAATACCCCTCAAATTAAATGAGTCAAAACAAATGATCTTCTAATGAAGATGAGGTGAGACAGAGCACGGTAAAGGTCAGGGAGAACCTCAGGAAACTTGTCCCGAACTTCTTTGATCTTTTCTCCCTTCTGGCCAATGATTGTCCGATGGAACTTCTGCTCCACGATCAGGTCTTTGGTGCGCTCGTTTTCCTGGACACAGGACAAAAGTGTGAAGGTAAGTGGTGAAATGTTTAGTTTGGTTTATGTCGACCAGGGTGATTATATGACTGAAACAGCTCTGATCTCATTCTCACCATTCTCTGAACCATCTCAATGAGCTCTCTGCGTGCCAGCTGGACTCCTTTAGGGTCTCCCTCAATCCGGACCGGGCCACTTCGCTCTGAGTCTTGGGGGATTCGTACCGACACTTTGTACTGTTCCTTGATGCGATTGACTGTAGGCAAGGGGAAGAAGAAAGCAAAGGGCTTTGATTTCAAAGGCAGGTCACAGTTTGTCACCCAAATCTTTGAAATCTTTAAAATCCTTAACTGTAAGTTGACTTATTTGAAAACGTCCACTGGTGTTTGAACTTGTAACCCCGGCAGAATTTGTTACTTCTGTTAGGATCATCACAAGTGAAACCAACTTACTGTTGGCCCCGTTCTTGCCAATGAGGTGTCTGTGGAAACGCTGGTCTATGAATACTTCAGTGTAGTCCATCCTCACCAACTGGACAAGGAAGGAAAGACAGAAACTTGAACTTTATCTCCTTCATCTTTTCTTCTGGGTCATTCAGAAGTGTCTTTGTGCTAAGAATGAACAGGAGTGACTGAAAGAAAATGACCAAATCCCATTAACAGTTCTTCAAGTCATTGTGGGTGGGCATGTTACGTCATTAAATCAATTAACAATAATTCCACAAATGTCAAAAATCTCCTTAAAATGAAATCTAGGTTACCTACAAACAAACTCTAAAGACTGGTCATTCCATTTTCCTGACTTTTCTGATTATTATTATAGCAGCCATTACATTTTTAGATTGGCATCCTGTTTCAGTAAAGTAATTAAAAATCTTTCATGAGACACATCACTGTTAGGGAACTATTGTGTGTGTGTGTGTCCAGACCAGGTCCTTGATGATCTCCTGTATCTGGGCCTGAGCCTGCTCCACCTCCTCTGTCGGCCCCTCCAGACTGATGCGCTCCTCACCATCCGTAAACTCTATGTGAACCTACACACACACACAGATAAGACAAACCACTCAAAGAGTCTCTTCTCTTGTCTCAGTGTCACAGCTGATTAAACACATCCGAGTCCATGTTAGAAGTGTCTCACTTAAAGTATCCTCTACCATGCTGCTGACACTTCTCAGTCCTTCCTCTTTTATTCACATCCTACACAAAGTCTTTACATGTACTTTTCATCATTTTCTGTGTTACAAAATCCCACACACTGCCACTGCAGTGTACCCTGTAACCTACTTGCTCTGTCATATTGCAGGAGCAGGATGTGGGATTTGTGTTTTCTCTGTTCTCTGGATTATCTCTCTCGCTCTCTCCTTACCCGTGGAAGCTGCTGTGTGATCCGCCCGATGTTCTGTCCTTTCTTGCCGATGATGAAGCGATGCAGCCAGGCTGGAGCAGTCACCTCCACCACCATCACACTTTTAGCCTGCAGAAACAAAAGGTGTCAGGTTTGCATAAACAACAACTCAGAGAAATCCATTAGGCTGCAGAACAGCAGTCACTCAGGCTGTTACATACTGATTCATAAACAACAGAAGCGGCTTGAAATTAAAGCTGCAGCAGTCAATATTTTTATATTACCCATGGAAACTGTCAGAAAGCCACAGGGAATTATCACCACTGTTGCTCTTATAAACCAACTGTACACCACCTACTTAGTACCAAACAGCAGACAGAAAAGGTTTGCAACCAAATGCTTCTTATAACTTCAGCTAGGTGGCAGGTGGGGCTAATTTTCAGACCATACTTTGAAAACACAGGTTTTATGCACCTTTAAAGACAACGTGGCTTCATTACTAAGACTGAGAAATTATCTAAAGATTACAGTAAATCCTGTATTAAATGGGAAATATATTTGTGGAGGATGGGGGTTGGTTCCTTCCATGCCCTCATGTACTTTACACATTTTGCATGTTCAATGTGCCGCTGGTCATGGACAATTAATAACTTATTATGCCCACAAAGAGTTAAGAGTTCATTTGTCTCGTGCATGTTCATCCTTCGCTCTCCTCTCACCTTGGCGTACACCTGCGTGAGAGCTGGTCCCAGCTTGTCGGGCTCCCCTCGGAGGATGATGGTCTCTGAGCTGGAGTCCAGAGGAGGCATCTCCACAGACACCCCCGTGGCCTCCAGGATCTCTTGCAGGGTGTTGCCCTTTGGACCTATGATGTACTTATGCTGAGACTTCTTCACCTCCACAGAGATGGTTGTGGTCTTCCTCTTCTGGACAGTGGACAGGGACAAGATAGGAAGTTATGAGCAGCATGAAAAAAAAGAGGTACCTGTGGTAAGAAGAGGGGCAGTAGAAGGAAGTTGAGAAATGAAATGAAAGACAGGAAACAGGATGCACAGGGCAGACAGATGTTGGGATGCACAGATGGAAAATGAAGACTGAGTGACAGAGTCAGAAGCCAATTTGGGGGCAAGGGGTGAGCAAAGATGCAGGGAAGAGGAAAGGACAGAGTGACTGAAGGCACAGCTGTTTTTCTTTTGCCTCTGAAATATGCATTCAATGACATTAGCATTCTCATCCTGTTGTTCTCCGGTCAAATCCAATTTTGTCTCCACATTATCTCCGGCCTGCCTATCACCAGCACTCATCTGGTGCACACATACAAACACACACTTCCTCTCCATGTTTCATCTGTCCATCTTTTAGTTTCTTGTGCACTTCTTTAGAGAATGCACATGTGTGTGTGATAGATGATAAAACAACACCACCGCTGAAAACAAGGGGAAAAATAACAAGTCTACCAAGCCATTTTATTACAGGAGGCTTAAGATCTGTGTCAGAATAAACAAGGGGTTAATGTGACTCTGTGGTGAACACACAACCACAATAATGACATCTGAAATCACAAAGCCCAAAAGTAAACCACAACCTCTACACCAAGCACAGAATAAAAAGATCCAGATGTTGTTCAGTGCACTTTTCTTTAGCCCTAATCGGAGAAGACCATTTGAACAGTGTTTTACCCTGCCTGAAACACTGGGTCTCAGACAAATGTTCTTCTGAGATGATGCAGATGAGGCAGCATTAGTCCTCCAGTACCTTCCATCCATCCACCATCACACCCAGATAGACTGTGGTAAGATTAAAGATCTGATGACTTGTACATAAAGAGATTAAAGCTTAGTTGCTAAGCCAATAACTGTTTCGAAATTAATCAAATAAACAGTACAAATCAATGCTAAACTCAATCAGGGGCCTGGGTAAGTTAGTTAGAAGGGGGACATCTGATCTGTCTCAATAAGCTCACCTTGTCATCGTAGATGGCTCGGATGCGGTTAAGCGCCAAGGCAACGGCCTCCTTCTCCCCGGTGATGACAATCTCGTCCTTGGGCAAGCTGGGCGGAGGGATGCTGATGCGGGCGCCCGTCTCCTGGCTCAGTTCCTGCACCAAACGATTGTGGGCACCGGCGATGAAGGGGTGGAAAGCCTTCTCCAGGGACAGGCGCTCCACGGCACGCTTGTCCTGGTGGTGGGTGTGAGGAGGAGGGAAGGGACAAACAGACAAGTCAATCAAACAACAGAATCTGTAAATAATGGTTGTCATAGATACTGAAGACGATGCCCACGCTGACCTGCTCAGCAGAGATGAGAAGTATTTCATGGCGAGCCTTCTCGATGCCCTCCTTGGTGCCAGTGATGCGGATGTTGGCGCTGGGGTCGTCAGGACGTGGAATAGTGATCTTGGTGGCGGTTTTCAGCTCCAGCTCCTGCAGCTTCTCGCCGTTTTTACCAATGACAAAACGATGGTGCTCCTTAGGGATGGCGACTGTAGCTGAGGCCTGGGGAAGTGTTGGGGAGAAAGTGAGAAAACAAACAGTATAACAATGGATGAGGCCACATTATCTTGCCTAAACTAATTTCATTACATAAATTTCTCTTGGGAGTTCAGGTTAATAAAAATCCATAATTGTTGATGTATCAGCTGTAGTTTCGACATTTATATATAAGAGATGATAACTTTAGTTTTATAGTTTCTCATATTTCTGGTGTTTAGTTTACCAGGGACAGTATTTGAGTAGTATGAGAGTTTTAATATGAAGCACTGGACCCACTCAGTAGGTAATAAATACAGAAGCATGGAAGTAAATCCCCACCAAAACATTTGAGGACACACAAACCACATTTTGAGCACTACTGAGTTTACAACTCAGCATTTGAGTGTGTAGATACATATTAGTAATCACAGAATCACATTTGAGAGTGTAATCCCAGCCATGCATGTGCTCATTTCTGAGTCTGTGCTCTCAGATTTCTCCCCTTGGTTTGTGTGAAGCTGCATCGGCCTCAAAAGGTTTGCAAGTACACAAAACAAATTCTGAGCGCTATTTAGCTTGCGAAATCAAAATGTGAAGGTGAACAAATATGTGTCTGCATGTTCTCAAATGCTGAATTGCAAACTGAGTAGTGCTCAAAATGTGGTTTGTGCACCCTCAAATGTTTTAGCAGGGATTTACTTCCATAAGAAGCATTCAACCTTGTGAAGAGGACAGTGTTTCTCTGTACTACTGTATCAATAACTGCAGCTCAGCGGAACTGGTGGATCTCAGTGTACCAACTGATACGGAATGTTTGCTGCTGAAGCCCAGAAAGGAAACCCCTGGGAGCTGACGGTCATTATTCGGCTCTACTGTTTGTCCTCAACCAGCCTGTGCCTGTGTAGATAGGATTTTCCAAGCTGCAGCTAACACTAACTGTCCTCACACTATATATCTTTTGCTTGATCCATCACTTAAAATGAAGCAGTTATATTATGTTGTGTGGATAGAAAAACAAGAAAGTACCAATAAAAGTAACAGACTGCCGCCATTAAACCTGACTGGTCCCATTCAGCATGATTCTGTCATTCCTCCTCAAAGTATACTCTCTTGCCTAGTTGTATATTCACTACCAAGACAAAATCCCCCGTGAAACCTTTTTTTTTTGCATTTTAGTCACTTAAAAATACAGAAAACCTGCTGCGGTGCCACAGTAGAAGCACAACACACTATGCTTGTACCAAAATAATGTCAGACAATGTTATCAAGGTACAAAAAGTTTCAACCTGGCAAGGCAAAAACCAAAGTAATTTCTGTCATGTGATTATCTGATGAGTAGCTGCAACTGTAAGACTAAACTTATCGAATCACAACTTTAAGTTAAAGTAACAACACCGCACTGTTTACACATTTAATATACTATCAGTACATTTACCTGTGTCTGCAAGCGAGCTACGATTTCCTTGCGAGCCTTCATGACAGAGTCCAATTTGCCGGTGACCATGATGGACAGGCCCTGGTCTTTGGCAAGAGACAGCTCAATGTGGGCTCCGGTCCGCTGCATGATGTCCAAGCACACTTTGGCCTCCTCGCCTTCACCAAACTGACTGTTGTCCTTGTAGCGACGCTCCTCCAGGGGCACGTGGAACACCTGGGGACAGAGCGGGTTAGAATGGCACATGGTGGACAATTAAATTTCTGGAAAATGTGTTTCATTTGTTACTTTTCACAGAAGCTCGGCTCAGAACCAAACAGGGTGAAGCTGGTTTTAACTACAATGCTGCACACAGGTGGAACCACCTTACATGTGCCCCAGCTCAAGCCTCAAATGAAAACTCTGTTTCCTTGTGCCTTTGTTTGACTGGTTTCTAAGCTGTACTTTCTGCACTGTACCTACTAGATTTCTGTTTCAGACCTTTCATTTTGTCTGTTTTTATTTTCCTTTTACAGATTTTGTCTCATTATAACAAAGTTTCATCTTCACTTTAACTGATTTTATTCTGGTTTTAATGCTTATTGTTTTTAAAGCCATTACTGATTTTCCTTGTCTCAGTACATCACTTTGAATTCTCTCTCTGTGTGAAATGTGCTATATAAATAAAGGTGCCTTTCACTTTGTCATTATGAATTATCAAGTGTAGATTTTATTACACTAAAGTGTGCAAAAATTGAACAGGTCTAAACACTTTCTGAAGCATACTGTATGTGGAAGTGGAAGTTTATGTGCATCTGTCTCAGCAGCTGCCTGACCTGGGTGATGACAGAGGCTTTAATGGGCCTGATCTTGCTGCCCCATGCTGACGCTGGCTCCCCAGCCTTCTCCCCAGGTGCCCCCTTCTCCGGCAGTGGCGGGAAGGCCTCCAGATAGGTGGGGATGTAGGCCTCATCCTCTGGGACGCAGCCTGGCATGGAGAGACAAAGAATAAAAGGCAGGGATGAAGGTGAGGATGGAGGAAGAAAACAGTATGCATGTACAGATGGATAGAGAATGATTACTAAAGAATAAAGTATCACATGCTTATCAAATAAACTGAAAATGCACAACACATACATACAGTGTGGTAGGAGAAACACTAAAAGCATTTATCTGATCTCTTAGGCTAACCGGCGGCTTGTGCAGTAAAAACCCTTGCTAACCAAAGAAAAAACTAATAAGTATATGACAAGCATTACCTGTAATCTCCTGGTCCTTGAGGCCACTGCGATGTTCTGCAAAGCTCTCCGGAGTCAACACTGCCACTGAGCTCATGGTTCAAGACTTATTCCACTATTCCACTAGGACAAAGAAGTGGTAGAGAACTGAGTGAAAAACATTTTATAATCTCTGAGCATGATATTGGTTGCTGTATTGGCATTAGATCCCATATCATTAAGTCCTAACTGAATAATCCAGGAGAAATACAAAAGCCTGTTACAAAGAGTCTCTCCTACATTGTTCTCTTTCTCTCCCTCAAATGTACTGTTGTATGATCTCTAGGATTGCTGTTCACAAGCCTCAGAAGACTGAGGCTGCCTCTGTGGCATTTGCTACACTACACCAGTGCTGCGCTGTACACCTGAGATGCTCCAATTAACACCTCACAAGCCTCAGATAAACACAGAAAGCCTCAGGGACGGGGTTATCGCAGATCACACAGTAAGAGCCTAAACTTCAAACAACTGCTGCAAGCATTCCGTGTGACACAAGGATCCGAGGATCTTGTCAACTTACACTGTAACAGTGAGTCAATCAAGTCTTTCCTGGACATGCATTAGAGACCAACTCTGTAAACACAGGGACAGTCTTGTGATTTAGGAAGGGTAGTGTGGTTTTATGGATACTAAATGTCAATGCTAAAACGCAGACATCTATGAGATCCTGTGTCTCCAATCAACGGCTGTAGGAGGAAATCATTTTTTGTCTCTTACATCTCTCACTTGTTTTCCTGCTTTATAACTTTATCTTAAAGTCATGTTCTAAAATAATGCTTGAGATGTCAATTCTAGGATTCACTCTCTTTTGCATAATATTTTTTGCTTTAATATCTTTGACAGCCAAGATGTTTTTCCTCACAAATAGGCATGCAAATTCATCTGTGGTTCTGCTGTCTGATGCATTTGGCTGAGCACAACAGTGACTTTGTGTTATTATCTACAATCTGTGAAATGTTCCAGTAGGGCTGTTTCTCCTGAAATGTGCTCACAGTGTGTATTCAAATCATACTGTAACTGCCTTCTCCTGCTGATAAAAACACTACCTAACCACCTCTAAAAGCCAAGAAAATATAACTGCAATAAAAATACAAGATGCATCTCAGGGAATAAGAAGCTAGTCTCATGAGAAACATAGATGGATAGGGTAACACTGAGGTAAAGCTGTGGAAGAACAGATCAAGCAGTGCTGCACAAAGTGAGGCCAGAGTTACCTGCTAAAGGTCAATTGCCAGAGAGTCCGTCCAGTTAGCGGCTACCGTAGGCACTTCAGTATGAGTGTGTGTTTCAGCTCCTGGATGCACAGGAGGAAAAAGGAGAGACTGAAAGTGAACAGTGTAAATCAAAGAGCTCTACTGCACAGAGGCTGGGTTAATACTGTCGACACCCACACTGCACTGCACCTCATACTGTCTGGATCTGTTTCACTCTCCTCCTTCCCCTCCCCTCTCTGCCTGTGGTCCCTCCTTTATAGTTTCACAAATTCAGTAGTCGAGGAAACTTGTGAGCGAACATGACCACAAACATGAGTTCCGAAAAACACAACACCTTTCTGTTTTTCTCTCACTAGTTTGTAAGTTCAGCCCCTGGTGTCTCTTATACCAGGTTCACAGGGGGGAAATTATTTAACCCCACAGCAGCCCATTGGTCAGATATTACAAACTCATACTGTGCAGCCTAAAATAGTTAACACTGTTTACAATTCTATCTGGAAATGCAAAACTATAATTCACTACTTCAAAAGGCAAATATACTTTTTACTCCATCTACATCCCCGTGTACATTCATTTGACGGATATAGTTACATTACTTTACACAATAAGACCTATAATTACTTTATAAATTGTGCTATAGCTTTACTGAACTACTCAACTGGCTCCACTTACAAAAGCAAAAGACACGTAAACATCAACACAGCTATTATAATTAATCCAATTACAGTGTAATGTAACTGGGAATATTCTCCTACATAATTAATCGTTTAACTTTTGATAATTAAACTACAGTACCTATGTGATTTTACTAAAGTAAAATGTCTTAATTCAAGTTTTTAAACTGTAGTGGATTACCTTTACACCATTTATTAAGAGCTCAGTAAGTAACTATTGTCGCCCATTGTGGATCATCACCTGTTAGTTTGCTAACGCTAAAATGTAAGAAAGAAAGAAAGTAGAAAGAAACAAAGATCACTTATTTCACTGCAACACAGTTTAATGCTAACTTTGAAGCGGCTGTGGCTATCAATGCAATTATGTTATCAATTCAGTACATAAAAACAAAATATATATACATATATAGACGACGAAATGAACCCAGCCGTTCACGGTATTAGCTAACGACCCAGCTAAACGCATCTCTCTCTAGCCGGCTAACGCCGTTCTTGCCAATTTAAGGAAGCACTGCATGTCTGGTCGTGTTAGCTACTCATCTGAGCTAACCTCTCCTAACGTTGGTTGACCAAAGCAACATTAGTTAGCCTGGTTCGCTAAGCTAGCACGCTTCATTATGTGTAACGGGATGATTAGGCGCAAGGACTTTCTGATAATCGGCTAAAAAACAAGCCAGGCGGACAGATAACCAGCTCCGAGGGCGCTAACCTTGCTAACCCTGGCTGCTTCTCGTTATCGGCGTTTTCTGCTTATAACACCTAGACTGTGACTTCATCCACTCTGTCTTCACAATTAGATAAAAACTAAAGATAAGATAAAAAGATACCCTACCTTTCAGAAAGAAAATATAGCCCAGGGTGTGTGTTTGACAGGTGATGGTGTAAACACAGTTGTGATTGGTCTAGGAGCATTTCCTCTGTGGGCGAAGTGATACGACCGTGCACTGCGATTCATCGAGTCTATAAAGCAAATGCCGCAGTATCTTTGCGCAACAGGAGCATCCACGTTAAATAGATCCACATGATGGTACTCTCGCTCTGCTCATTCCACTGTTACATTCCACTATAAAAGACCCGTATGTGGTGTCTTGACTGGTAAACGATAAATGAAAGAATTTCTCAAGTTATCAGCCCTCGCAGCGCCCTAGTCCATCAAACTGACCGGGTCTACTTCTCATTCATAATGAGCTACTCTGCTCCACTGGAGTCAAATCAGGCTCCTGAGGTTGATTAGACCCTAGAAACCCGATTTCACAAAGCAGATACTGTATCTATGATCTAAATAAAAACACTCATGCTCAATAAATTAAATAAGTGAGTCAAGTTAAGAAAACATTTTGAGCTTTTTAGTCCACATTATGCGATAGTCAAGAATATCCATCCATCCATCCATTTCCCTTCGCTTATCCGGGACCGGGTCGCGGGGGCAGCAGTCTAAGCAAAGATGCCCAGACTTTCCTCTCTCCAGACACTTCCTCCAGCTCCTCCGGGGGAATGCCAAGGCGTTCCCAGGCCAGCCCAAAAGACATAGTCCCTCCAGCCT